GGGAGAGAGGGGCTGTCAAAGACACTATGCCACAAACTACTGGGGCCTGCGCTATTGTGAAGTCTGAATGAAGGATTGGGGAGACACAAAAAGTGATATCCCAGGGAGCAGGATGTTTTGGCTTTGGGGGGAATGGGCCCTTCTAAAAGTTTTAGATTTGGGTGGATGGACTCTAATTATAAGAAGTTAGAGCCTACAAGAATAGGCAAATATGGAGTAGCCAAGGAAATAAAGCCCAGGGGTGTGCAATTAAAGGTGGGAGGATGGCCGCAGGTTTCCTGGTTAGAAGGGATGTCCTGATGCCATTTCTCAGCCCCACAGGCTGAGAGCTGGGGAACCTGAACAATTTGGTAAAGGAGCCAGGTCAGAACTGGGAACCATGGGTCTAAAACCATGGTATAATGAGGCAGGCCTTCTCCCCAGGCCAATGCCCCCCCAAAAACAAATGCCACATTCAGTCTCTTTTAGGTAGTTTCATTGTCCCAAATGTAAACACACACACACACACACACACACCACAGTTTTTCAGCTCATCCCAGGGGTTTTCCCCACATTACCTATCAGGCTCTCACTGCCTTCTTTCCCAGGGTACTCTCTGTCAGGAATGAGGACTTGCATCTGCACCCTCTCCAGGCAGCCTATGAGCACAGCAGGGCTGCCTGATTGGCCAAGGAAGTCAGCACGTCTGTTCTCAAGTACAACAGCAACCGCTAATCTCAGGCTGCTCAAAGCTTTATGTCCTCAGCTGCAATCGCTCCTATGCCTATTTTGTTCACAGTCCTGATTCTGCCTCAGTTACAAACTTTCCTCTTCTGCCCTGCCCCAGTCCTGCCTGGACTCCTGGCTCTGGATCCAACCACTACGTCTGCCCGCTTACATCCCAGTTCGTAACACTCTGGCAGTCCTGCTGCTTCTTCCTGCAGCTGCCTAGTCTGACTCACCCCATCTCTCTCCCTTTCTAGGCCCACTTGCCTCTTTTAAATCTAATTGGGATCAGCTGATGAAGCACAGGTGCACTGGTCCTGCTTGCTCCTTCTTAAAGGGCCAGTGTCACTCTGACTCATGGGACTATGATGAAGTTCCAAGACAAAGCAGCAACTGGACATCTGTTAAAAATAAGGGGTCTGTGCAAGGGAAGGGGAAGACCCAGGTAGTGCTATGGTCCAGATCATCAAAGGGTACTGTATGTCCAGGAGGAGAAGAAATGGGTAATTGTGAGTTAACTGTTAACAGCTGTAGGAAAAAGGGTGCAGTCTGTTAGGAGTGCTAGTGCCAGGGTAGGATTCACGCCTGTGTTTTTGCATGAGATAGTATTTTGAGTTTTGCTTGCCTGTTTGATTTGTTGATACACATACATTCTTACTGATATGTGTAAACAAAGGACAAAGACACTGTGTATGTTGCTTTTCCCTAGCCAGATGGGTTTGCTAGTACAATGGGAACAGATAAGAGCAGTTAAAGTGTTACTGGAGTGCACGTTAAGATTGTCTCAACCCCTATCTCAAGGCAAGATCAAGCAACCAGTCGAGGGGGCAAAGGGAGTTAGGGAGGAAAGTATAAAACACTAAAGACCAAAGAAATGCCTGTCCCTGATCATAGCACAATCTCACCTTACCCCTCCCATGGGGTACAAAAGAGATGGGACGAAGACCTCAGACCCACGTCCCCCTCATCCCCCAAAATGGAACATGACCATAAGTTGTAAGGGGTGGGACTGTGGGCGTGAATTTCAGGTATAATTATGCCTGCTGAGGAGGTGGGGGGACAGGGACGGGACACTGGGAAACGGCTCTGCAGCATCAGAGTAATGGGACACAATTGCTGGAAACTAACCCCAATAAACATCACATTGCCTGCACTTCGGCCTTCTGCTTTCTGTCTGCGTGACAAGAACCGGGGAGAGGGTGAAGGGAAAGTCCCCTAACATAGTCATTAGTGTCTGGATGCCCCAAAAGGAAGGGGGATTTGTCTAGAGACATTTTTAATTCCGAGGGCTGAGCTACTGTTTGCATCCAGGGAGGCTCATCCCTAAGCAGCAGCCTTAAGTCAGTTCAGCTGTGGGGAAAAGCTTTGCTTCATCTTGTGTGGGGTAAAAGCTGTACAGCCCCTAAGAGGGGCTGCATCCTCTGGTGCTTGTAAAGTACATGGATAGAGCATCCCGTGGTACCTAATATTTTTTTCTGTTAAATGACATTGCTGCACAAATGAAGATAAGTTACTTGTAACCAGAGTTCAAGGTGACTCTGAATATTCATACTTACAGATAATGCACTGGCTAGTACAGCCCAACTGTAGAACCTGCTCCAAACAGTGCCTGTCAGAGTGAACGTGCATCCCCTCCTACCTCTCCCCTCATTGTCGCCGAACATGCTGAAGGCAAGGCTATATAAAAGGAGTGATGCGCCTTCTGCAGCCTCAGTTCCTTCTGACCCACAGAAACCAAAATAGGACTTTGAGAAAAAGGGACAGGTGGGAGGGAAGTGTGAATATGCAAAGTCATCTTGAAGAACTCCAGTTACAAGAAAGTAACCTTCGTTCTTCTTTGAGTGGCTCTGCATATGCCCACCTATGCGTACCTTGGCAAGCAGTGCAGAAAAAACTCAGGAGGAGAGAACAGAGTCTCAAATAACGATTGAAGCACCGCTCTACCAAATCCAAAGCATAATGTTTGGTAAATTTATAGAGTGACTTCCAAGTAGCAGCCCTTACAGATTTCCCTGACAGGAACACATTTAATAGAAGCAAACAATGATGATGATGCCACTGCTTTATTGGAAAGAGACCTCACAACAGTAGGCACAGGAACGGCAGTTAACTTGTAACATTCAATAATACGTAGTTTACCCATCTGGAAACAGTATGTGCAGATATACTATAACCCAGTGGCTCTCAACCTTTCCAGACTACTGTTCCCCTTTCAGGAGCCTGATTTATCTTGCATACCCGCAAGTTAGACCTCGCTTATATTATTTCTAGGACCCACTTGTCTAGCACCCGATGCTATTTCTTGTTATTTCATTCTACGGTTGAAATGGTTTAATTAAAATTTACCTAGAACATTTTTAATAATTGTCATGTATTTAAGCTTATTAGAGTAACATACTTCCTGCTGAGCCTAGCCCCTGCAACTGTTTACATCCTAGCATTTATTTTTCCAATCTCCTAGTTTAATTCTCAAGTAAACCAAGTGTTTTATTAAAAATAAATATTTCATGCTTATTTTGCTAACATTTTATAACTAAATGCTTTTTAAAAAAAGTTAGGAGGGAAAAGTCCTAGAAATTCCATCAAACACCCACTCTGCTAAAAGAACATTTAAGTTGCATGGCTAAGGACTCAGAAGCTAGAAAACAAAAATTATGGCTCCACAGAGGAAGAAAAGAAAGGGGAGGGAAGCCCTGAAGTCCCCGATACCTCCTAGTGAAGGAGCTCCCCAGAGTACTCAGTACTACTCAGTGTGCACACTCGGACCACAGGGGATGCAGCCACATATGGAGGAACCCTGGTGGTAAAGTAGCAGATATCTTCTTATTATAATGTGATTCATGTACGTACTGTTTTCAGGCAAACACTGAAGTAGAATGAGAGCTGTTTTTAGTGCCATCTGGTGTCCATTTAATGCACACACCAATTTTTCCAAACAATATACTCCACTTTTCTGGATTGAATACAAGTATATGATGTTAAGTATGAAGTTCATGAACTTAGTATATCATTTAGTTCATACTAGATTTTTATTGTACTAACCAATGCAGCCATGCTTTAACTGTGTTCTATGTTGCTGCACAAATATCTAGAGTTACTGTACAAGGATTTTAGATTTATTGATAGGTATATACTGTATGTGTGGTGGTGACCCATATGATAAAAGCTTTTATTAGCATATACCTTTGCCAGCTTCACTTCCACTCTGTCTAGTAATTCTTCTGCTTAGGACCAATTCTAATATTCCAAATTTGTACACAGCTTCAAATAACTTTAAATCAGTTTATCACCAAAATATTTTCTTCTTTACAACTTAAATGTGGAACTTTTGCTACCCACAGTTTCACTGGTCTGAGGCTCAAGATGAGAGATATTCAATCCCAGACCAGATACAAATTTAAGGGACAATGTCATGACCTTTAAGGGATAGAAATGGGAGTTTGGAAATGGAAGGAGGAAATTCCTTGCTTTCTATGGCACAAAGAATTTGCTTCTACTGCCGTACATATTTAGATATGGAAATGCTATTTTAGGTAACGTTTTAATTTTGTTTTTTAATTTTTCCTCGAAAATCTGTAGTCAAAACAACAATAAATTATGCATATTATGGTAGCACCAAGGAACCCCAATCATGGACCAGGACCCTGTTGTGCTAGCACTGTACAAACACAGAACAAAGATTGTTCCTGCCCCAATCCTTATTTTCAAAACTCTCTGAAACTCTTCTAAAATACTACTTCTGGAAAATACATGCCATATACAGAATACATAATGTACTCCCAGGAGGACAAAGGGGCTTGCTCAACCATATAAGAACACAGCAATTTTAATTGTGCCTGAGTTTGCTTATCCATGGAACAAACGTGGCATGGGCTGAAGCAGAAGAAGCTCCCTACATGCTACTCTGCTAGTGTGCGTCAAGTGATTAGCTAATTCCATCTTCGGTATCATGTGCATGAGAACAAATTGATGAGACTTCATCACATAGAACACAGCTCTCGGCTCCTTTAAGATTACCCGTACATTAACTTGCAAAAGCAAACACACTTTATCTGAAGAAGTGAGGTTTTTACCCACGAAAGCTTATGCCCAAATAAATCTGTTAGTCTTTAAGGTGCCACCAGACTCCTTGTTGTTCTTGTAGATACAGACTAACACGGCTACCCCCTGATACTTGACACTTTATGCTTGTTTAACTCCAAATTATTTAATGAAAAATCACACTTTCTAGAAGGTATAACTTTGGACTTCAATGTAATACAATTTTGCTACTGCTTAAGAGAATAGACATTTACCTTTTTCTTTTTGTTCCTGTTCAGTTTCTTTACTTTTTCCTGGAAGATTAAAAATAAAATAGCATAAGCATTTTAGTGAAGAACGGTACAAAACACAATACCGGTAATCAATACCTATGGAAAAGAGACAGTTAAAGGAAAAACTTTTTGTAGGACTTCATGGCAGCATATTGTTACTTAAGTCATTTTAATCAAAAATGCTTGGGTACTTTATAGTTCAATTATAGCTTATTATTTAACATAAGATGGGGATAATGCTGCATGAAATGTTTTAGAACTAATAGCAATCTTTTCAAAATAAGATAAAAGTCCTTCCCCCCGCCCCCCCACATGTATATGAATGATATCCACACACACATATTATATTATACATAATTCTTCTAGGTTCTTCAGCCACCAAATGTTTGATTAACTTTGTACCTATGGGTTCTGTTTATTTTTCTTACTTTTACCTATTCACTTGTGCTTGAAAATAGGAGTAAAATTTTCAAATGTGTTTGAGTCTCATTAACTTTCAGTCAGATTTAGGATCCAGTGCCAAAGTCAGTTTTGAAAAATGGAACTTAGGCTTCTGAGTCATTTAGAGGTTTGTGAATATTTTACCTGTGATATATATTAATTTACCTATTTAATATTTCAGATAGCTTTATATTGACAAACATTTCCTGAGAAAACAGCCCAGCCTGAAAGTATGCATCAATGCAATCTACCTAACATCTCTATGTTTATAGTTTTCATAGAATTTCTCTCATTAACCTACACACTAACTAAAATACTAAAAGACAATTCTACTCAGCAAGGACTACAAAAACAAAACAAATTAGAAATTCCTAGGCCTAGACATTTTGGAGATCTGATGAAAAAGAAAAACAAACAAATAAGTAAACTACAGCTACATTTCAACACACTAAATCTTTAAAACTGCCTGATTTTTACCTGACTTCCTAGAAATTCTATCCTGGAACGATCTGCAGCATGTAAAATCTCAAAAAAATGGTTTTTTTTATTTTTCTGGGGAAACTGGAATCTGTGCATGTGCCAAATGCAGGCTTAGTATGTGGAGCTATCTTGACAGTTAACTATGGAGTGACTACTGCTACTTCAGTATGCCTAGATTGCTAAATTCTCTGGATTTCCCGCAATATTGGCTTGCACCCTGTAATGTATTAACCAAGCTACAAAATATTGAATTAAATAAACTTGGTGGAGTGTGAGAATTATTTGCCTCCATAATTAAATTATAAAAATCTTTAAACTACAAGTTATCATAATTAGAAATGGGAAAAGATTCATAGGTTGATATATTCAAAAGCTACAGGTCCGCTTGGATAGGGAATACATTTACTATGATTGTACATGCACACACGTAGTTGTCACCTGTTTGCATAATTACCTTATTTGCATGTATAATTGTAATAAAATCATTTTTCCAAGTCCGTTTCAGTGTTTCCATGGAAAGATTTTAGAGAGACCTACAACCCAGTCTCTAGCTGACAGACAAAATGATACATCTGAGTTTTTAATTTCTATGAATGATAGTGTGGAATTCACTGCCACTCAACCCCATCCAGAGCATACAGCAGGACTGTGTAAATAGTTCACTACTTCATGATTTACTAACTTCCCACTCCCCTCTATCCTTCCCCCCCCCCCCCATCACCAGCACCTTCTACAACACCCTCCACTCACCTCTGTAAGCTCTTCCCCTCTCCTGCCTTCCCTTACCATGCACAACTTATTTCTACAGGTTCTTTCCTCTCTCAGTATAAAGTAAGGTATAGTCACCCAATTGTCCCTCTCCACTTCATTTCTAAGTTCACTGAATGTGCCATCTATAACTACTGCCTCAAGTTCCCCTTCTCTAGCTTCATCCTAAATTCTCTCCAATCTGGCTTTTGCCCTCTCAGCTGCATTTGCTCTCAAAGACTCTAATTACCTTTTCTTGAGCAGTCCTTAGGGTCTCTCTTCCATCCTCATTCTCCTTGATCTTTTGAGCTACTTTTGACACTGATTGTACCCTCCTTTAATTTTGTCCTCCCTTAGCTTTTGGTTCCCCATCTTACCTGGTTCTCTGCCTACTTGGCTGAGCGTTCCCCTCTGCATCTTGGTCAGTGAGTACTGCTGCCCTCACTACTTATGTCTAGGGTGATCTTATCTGCACACATGGTTTTAACGAACATCTTCATGGTAAAGATTTACAAATCTGACCTTTCTCCCTTCTGAAGAAGATCTGTGGTGCTAGAAAGCTTCTCTTTTTCATCAACAGGAGTTGGTCCAATAAAATATATCTCACACATCTTGTCTCTCATATCCTGGGTCCAAAACACCTACAACAACACTGTAAACAACGGTCTTCCTCCAGTAGTGCTGTGAGATTGGACGTCTCAGTGCAAGTGTCTTGCCAGCGTCTTAAACTTAGCATGACCCAGACCAAGATCCTTTCAAGCCCACCAACCCTTTCCCCCGTTTCTCACCTTCACACAAAGCACCTCCGTCTTCCCTGTCACTCTGGCTTATAACCTGAGTGTCATCATTGACTCTGACCAATGTGCAAAAGTGAACATTTCTGGAGCAATAGGAGGATGTAGTTATTGAAAAATTACACTGCTATGATTCTAATGCGAAACATCTGGGTAAACTTGCTTTAAGCTGATTGTGCTAACTAGAGCAGCTCTCAGCAGCCAGCAAGTAACTGTGCAAATGTAAAGCAAAGTGCTTCCCCATGGAAAAAAAAGCACATGTTGCCATGAAGATACATATTTACTTTTCATGTAGCATTAAAAACAATATTTTCAAAACTGAAAATATATTTTGCATTTTAGAAAAATGACCCGTTACATGCTTAAAGTGTCTCTGCAATATACTGCATATATATTACACATACAACCATATATAATTAATACGTATTATGCCTATGCACAGATCAACTCTAATTAATATGCTTGTGGTTACTTAGTTTTAATTTATATTTGTAGTATTTTACAAATACCTAAATTACATCAGTTTTATGTCAAATTTTACAAAACATATGTTGCTGTAAATATACAGCTGTAGTATATTCCAGAATTTCCTATTTACAAGAGTTCTATCATAACCACTAGCTCATCTCCGATTAGTGGGAACTATAGAATCACAGGACTGGAAGGGACCTCGAGAGGTCATTTAGTCCAGTCCCCTGCACTCATGGCAGGATTAAGTATTATCTACACCTTCCCTGCCAGGTGTTTGCCTAACCTGTTCTTAAAAATCTCCAATGATGGAGATTCCACAACCTCCCCAGGCAATTTATTCCAGGGCTTAACCACCCCTACAGTTAGGAAGTTTTTCCTAATGTCCAACCTAAACCGCCCTTGCTGCAATTTAAGCCCATTGCTTCTTGTCCTATCCTAGAGGTTAAGAACAACAATTTTTCTCCCCCCTCCTTGTTAACCGTTTTCAAGTACAAAAAAGGTTGTTATGTCCCCCCTCTATCTTCTCTTTTCCAGACTAAACAAACCCAATTTTTTCAATCTCCCCTCCTAGGTCATGTTTTCTAGATCTTTAATCATGTTTGTTGCTCTTTTCTGGACTTGCTCCAATTTGTCCACATCTTTCCTGAAATGTGGTGCCCAGAACTGGACTCAATATTCCAGTTGAAACCTTATCAGCGTGGAGTAGAGCAGAAGAATTACTTCTCGTGTCTTGCTTACAACACTCCTGCTAATACATCTCAGAATGATGTTTGCTTTTTTTGCAACAGGGTTACATTGTTGACTCATATTTAGCTTGTGATCCACTATGACCCCCAGATCTCTTTCTGCAGTACTCCTTCCTAGGGAGTCATTTCCCATTTTGTGCGTGCAACTGATTGTTCCTTCCTAAGTGGAGTACTTTGCGTTTGTCCTTATTGAATTTCATCCTATTTACTTCAGACCATTTCTCCAGTTTGTCCAGATCATTTTGAATTTTAATCTTCCAAAGCACTTGCAACCCCTCCCAGCTTGGCAAACTTTATAAGTATGCTCTCTACGCCATTATCTAAATCACTGATGAAGATATTGAACAGAACTGGACCCAGAACTGACGCCTGTGGGACCCCACTCGATATGCTCTTCCAGCTTGAGTGTGAACCACTGCTAATTACTTAGTCTCTGGGAACAGTTTTCCAACCAGTTATGCACCCACCTTATAGTAGCTCCATATAATTTGTATTTCCCTAGTGTGCAGGGGCAACTAAAGTGGTAATAGATTTTCAACATTAATATATTTATTTTAGTTGTTAAACAATGACCCATTTCATGATATTTATGTATTATTTTCCCGAATTGGTGTGTTTTCCTAACACCACTGAAAAGACAGCCAAGTGCAACAATCCATGGTCTCTGAGGGCACAGCAGGAAAAAGTACAGGGGGGGTGGGGATGTGCCTTGCTTAGAATCCTTTACCCAGCTACGTTCCAGTCTACATTAGGACACAGGATTGTCAGAGAATCAGGGAGGTGTACCAGACCTGTTTATGTCTGCTTTACTCAAAATGGTATAGGCACAGCATCCACTTTACACTTCTAACTCAAAATATGGACCACTGGCACAATTTTCCTCCAGAAAATTTACACTGAATGCGGGACCTTTTTGCCAGACACTGGTGTATTTCAGTGAGTAAAATGTCATTCCTTCCAAGTCACAAAGAAAATATACACCCCGGACCAAATTTTGGCCAACCACATAAATTGGCTTTAGGACTGGACTGACAAGCTTCAAAAGCAGAGTAAACATGCGGCAACATTCTAATAGACAATGTCCTCAACCCATCGCCATTGCCTCATCTCCCCTCCCCCACAACCAAAATAAAGATTATGTCCTGCTCGAATTTTGTCCTCCTTGTGTATTAAATATTGACAAAGAGCTATATTATGACAGATAGGTGATATTAATTAGTATGAGATAAGTAGGTACTGAAACACCTTTATTAACACAGATACCAGATTTCTACACTTAAGAGTACAAAATAAAGACACCAAAGCAAAGATACTCTTCTGTGTTTTATTGCAGATAACATTA